ATAACGATTTCAAATAGTCATTTCAAGGATACCTAGATAAAAAATATAGTTTTAGAAAGTTCATGAAATTTGTTATAAAATCAAAAATTCAAATTTCAAAAAAAATTTATTTTAAGCTGAGCAATGCGGGTTCAAACTGAGCAAACAGCTCAAAGTTAAAATTCTCTTTAAAAAAGTGAGACTTTCTACAGTACTCCAAGAAAAAAGTGAGTCAAATGGCATCTGGTCCGGTTCACCAGTGTAATAACGGTCTGAAGGGGTCATCTCCTCTTCCCAGAAATTGTGGACCATCTGCTACGCTCTGCGTCCCTTCAGGCCCCTCCACTATCTCGCCACCCAGACTCCACCCCCCCCCCCCGTCGTCTTCTACCAGCCGGACAGGATTGCTCAGCAGAATTTGCGTTTTCAGAAAATTTTGCTAAAACTGGCTTAAAATAATATTTAAGGAACCAAAATTCACTAAAACACTCCTGAACCAAAATCCTGACGGTTAAGACCAAGAACTTGTTGATAACTGTTATACTGCGTTTTTTGCAATTATCTAATTAACGAGGGGTAATTAAGTTTTGAAAATAGTTTTGTTAGATTCAGCATGCACGATTCTATCAGAAAATGTCTAAAAATCCCTAGAAAATCTCAGGAAAAACCGAAAAAATTGAATTTTTCTAAAATTTTCAGAGTTGATCCCAGAAATTCCAGATTTTCAGTCGAATCGGTTGGATGTTGGGGTACTTTCGATAGGAAATTTGGATTCTTGAAGATTTTTAACATCTAAATCCGTTTTCAAATGATTCAGAATAATCCTGGGAAAGTCTGAAAATCTGGGCTGAAATTTTTTTTTTCGAAAAAAATTTTAATTTTCGTTTTTTTTTTGAATTTTACAACTGATATTCTTGTTTTCTGCAATTATTCTGAATCTTTTCTAGTATTTAACTTCTATAAACATCTTTCTTTAGTTTCAGGGATGTCTGAAAATTCTGGAAAAAAATCGGCTTTCTATTGAAAAATGAATTGTGGAGTCCGTCAAAACAACTGTCTTAAATTCTCTGAAAGTCGACGAATCTGTCTGAAAATTTGTGCCTATATGAAACATAACCAGAGCTTCACTTTAGTAGTTGTCAATTTTTCACAAAAATTTCAGCCAAGCGAGATATGCCACGTGGAACGGACCGTCAACTGGAGACGTCTGGATCTGGATCAACTTCAGGTGCTTACCATAGTACCTAGACTTTGCTTGATCAATCCAAATTTCTTGGAGAAGATGAAACCAAGCCAGAACTTCATTTTTGTAGTTGACAACTTTTTCATAAAACCCCATCCAAATGAGATACGTCGCATGCAAGCACCCCGTACCCCCTCTCCCCCCTCCCTCCTGCTAGTACTCGTGGAGACCTCCGTTAGCGATGAAAATGATGCGATTGTCGGAAGGGGGAAGGGACACTCTATGCACATTTGAATATCCCGTCGATACGAGGGACGGGTGGTCTTTCGGACCCCCCCCCCCCCCAACCAGCTCTCTCTATTCATATAAATTTGCATCCATCCCCGTCAGTTGGTTGGACCCTGTGGCAGCTGCTGCGTTCCCCTTGGTTTTGTCAGGGGTGGCCAACACCCCTCTGAATGGATTGGAATTTGAAATGTAAAAACCAGTTTTCAGAGCTTTTTGAGAACTGCATTTATCATTTTAATTTGATTGGAAATCTCAATTTTGAATCGAGTTATGCACTGACCAGATGGCAAGTGCATGCATGACCACCGAGAAAATTTCAGGGCATTTTCAGGAAAATTGTGTTTATCGAAACTATTTGAATTGTATATTAGTTTTTAGCTCTTTTTAAGAGCTAAATTTTAATTTTTGACCTGAAAAGAAATTCCAAGTTTGAGCTGAGTTATGCGCCCAGCCGGTGGGGCCCTGGAATGTATCACCTGTTTAGCAGTTTTTCTGCGAATTGCTATGTATTTCGCTATATATGAATTTTATATCATTTTGTAGAGCTTTTTAAGGGCTACATTTTGCTTTGCAATTGAAAATACTGAGTTTGAAGAGAGTTGCAGGTTTCTATCCAACGCGACCTAACAGCTGTGTACCCTAAAAAAATGATATGCTTGACAGTAAGACTTATAACTTTTTTCAAACTCAGTATTTTTGATTGATTGGAAAATTAAAATGTGGACCTTAAAAAGCTCTACACGATATTATAAAATTTTCTTTGTTTTAATCTATGGGCTTTCCTACAGAAGCCGCTGAACAGGCAATACCTCTTGTGGCAACACCCTTGGTAGGAGGAGAAGCCCACCTCCTTGAATGTGCCTCTTGTTTAGAGACAATTTTATTAAAATTTTTAAAATTTGATATAATTGAATTTTATATCATTTTGAAGTATTTTTCAAGATCTACAATCTACCATTTTTAAAAATTTTAAATGTCAAGTTTGAAAAGAGTTATGACTTGTTTTGAAGAGGATACCCAGAACTGGAAGGGCGGGAAATTGGAGAAGTTGAATGTTAGAAAAACGAGATGCAAAGGAAATCCGACATCGGAAATACTTCAAAAATCCAATAAAAAATTGAAAAAAAATATGCTACCGTATCCCTTATGTTATCACAGATCAAATACACACATGGCGTATAATCCATCATCTCTAATTCGTATCTCATGCGAAATTGAATTTGGACTACTGTAGCTATCAGGTGTATAAAAAGAGCCAGTGGAGAGCTTATTTCATTTTTTTTCGCAATTTCTGATGTTTGAAGCTTTCAAAAAACTGAGTCGATCGGTATCATTTTCATTGAAAAATGCCCAAAAATTGAATTTTTAAAATACCAACTTCAAACCCCTATATCTCGTTTTCTGTAAAAGATATCAAAAAGTGGGCAACTAATAAAATGTTTATTATTTTATCAAAATTATTTTATCAGTTAACAACTTTTAGGTAGCTCTTACAGAAAATGAGATAAATTTTGTCAAATATTTTGACTCATATTTCAAGAGTCTCTGGCTTAAAGACCTCCCATTAGATAGGAAAATCTAGTCCATGCGACATGGGACTTGTTTTCAAAAATTAATTATCAATCAATAAATTGCACACCTCATTTTCTACAGTACCCCCTGACAGACGAACACCTCATTTGCTGTGTCATTTCTTGCGCATACTCTGACATAATGACCATTGACCTCCACCAGCTGACGAATAGGGTTGCGAGGGTCCCGAAAACTCGGAAGGGTCTACATATAATGCCTCATTTTGTATACAAAAAGCTCAAGGTTAGGTTTTTTCAAATTTTGCAAAAATCGAATTCTTGAATTTTCGATTTTTTCAAAAATCTGACTCTCCATCCAAATATCTACATTTTTGTGAAAATTTGAAGTTTCTCGCTTATCTAGAAGCCGAGATACAGCGATTTTCAACTTTCGGAGAAACGCAGTCATTTAGAGTTTCTCGTCGTCGGCGCTCTCCTCCTTTTCCACACTCTCTAGCTTGCTAACTGCAGAGCGCTGTATCTCGGCTCTTAAAATAGCTAGAAATTTGAGATTTTTACAGTTTTGGCTAACAAAACTAGAGCTTCATTTTTGTAGTTAACAAGTTTTTCGGAAAATTTCATGCTAGCGAGATATGGGCTATTTTTCCAGCAAAAAAAAATTTGTTCAGTTTTTTTTCCCCGTTTTCCTCACAAAAAGTGTAAACATACATCTCAAAGTATTCTTAATCCATTTCCCAGCCACCTCTGATACTGCTAATCCGTTATTATCACCCTTTTGAAGGGACTTTCACAAATAATCCCAATTACACCCTTGAAGTTCTCAGCACTAATCTAATCCCTTATTGTCAGCCACCCAATCCGTCGATTTTCGAAAAAATCTCCTTCTAAAAAAGAAAAAATTCTAGAAACTTTGTTACATCATAATCCGTGTTTGTTTGGGTGGAAAAAAACTAGAGCAAAAAATAATTTATTTAGAATAAAAACCTAAAAATCTAGAGCACTTACTTTGAGCTCAATTATCTCGGTTCTTATAAGAGATATCAAAATTTTGTAAGCAGATAAAATGTTGGCCACATTATCAGTACCATTTTTTCAGGCAGCAAAATTTTAATATCATTTATAGGAACCGAGATAATTGAGCTCAAAGTGCAAGTATAGAAAGCATACGTGACAGGGGGGGGGGAGTGGGTGACCACTAATTGGTGCATAACTCGGTTCAAAATTGGAATTTCTAAAGAATTAAAAGGGCAAAATGTAGCTCTTGGATAGATCTACAAAATGATGTTAAATTCCATTATTTTGAAAATGCAGTTGGCTTCTCAAAACGCTCTCAGCAGCCTAGTCGTCCGGCTTCAGCCGCATCGACCTCGAGTAGTGATGCTCCTTTAAGACCTCCGATGTAGAGTTCAACATTTGAGTATTAATTTGTATATTATATACAGTTTTGTAGATGCTTTCAAATTCTACATTTCGGTTTTTGAATTGTTCAGAAATTCCAATTTTGAAGCAAGTTATGCGCTGGCCAAGATAACTACAATATGCTCTACTAGACTTGAATTTTGAGCTCAATTACCTGGTTTGCTATAAGAGATATTAAAATTTTGTAAACTACAAACATTTTTATCATAATATCACCAACATTTTATCAGTTGACCAATTTATAATATCTCTTGTAGGAACCGAGATAATTGATCTCAAAGTATGTGAGTGCGGCGGTGACGCAACCTGACCGAGCCGAGCGCATTTTAAGCTTAATTATCTCGGTTCTTATAGCAGATCGTAAAAAGTTGTCAACTAATAAAATATTACGAGTAATGTGATAAACATTTTATCAGTTAACAAATTTTTGATATCCGTTATAAGAATTGAGATAATTGAGCTCAAAGTGAGGGTACATCTGTAGAGATCTATAAAAGGAACTACGGTAGTTATGGGTGTCAGGTAGGGTGAAAAGGTTTAGGTAGGGTCCAAGAGTGTTAACTAAAAAGAACATTCAAAACAAGACAAAAGTTAATTAATTATGCTGCATAGAAACGTGGAATCTCGTCGGTCTGAGCGCAAGTATCCAGATTTGGATGGGAGTAAGGTCCTCTGGTGCCTGAAATTATATTTTTGGTCCAAAAAGTTTTTTTAAAACTCACGACGTCTTTCTTTGGCATCTTCTAGTTTTTCCGCTTCCAGATTCTTTATGAATCTTTGCAATTGCCCTCCAAACTGTTCTAGTTCTTTAGTTTCTTGACCCTTCATTGCTTCTCCACAGATAAAGACAATTTTCTTGGTGATACTGTAGACTTGGCTGGAGATGGAGCGCAGGAGCTGGAGGAACTTTTCGGGATGTGGCATTTTCTGAAAATTGGGGTAATTAGAGGCAAAAATATGCTTGGATCAGGTCTAGCGAAGTCTCGGCATATATTCACTGTAGTCACTCTAATCAAAGGCGTTAACTTCGAACCTCTATATCTCGATTCCTCTGAAAGATATCAGAGAGTAATGAACTGGTAAAATATTGGTGATATTATGATGAACAGTTTGTCAGTTTACCATTTTTTTGAAATCTCTCACAGAAAATGAGATAAACGGGCTCAAAGTTGGCTGCTTGGGCGATACAGAAAATTCAAAAAACAACTGATGGGGATTAAAAGAGCAAATGGGGGGG